ATGGGTCATCCTATACGTGAACGGTAGATGGAGCGACTTAAGTCAGTCCAGTTTTCAGATAAACAAACCTACTGCATGCCTTTTTGCCGAGCTGTCTTACCAGTAGTCATAAGCGAACAGTGGCCTTAAAACTGCTGTGCAAAATAAACATATGACTAGGGCCTTTTGAGGAGTTAAACGTTGGTCCTTTTAGTAATACTCTCTTAATTAAATAAGTACTCAAACTGTGACCCAACACATATTTAATAATTAATTCTCACTACATTCTTTTCCTACGACAGAAGTATAACGGCCACAGGTAGCTAAGGCGTAGGCAAGCATCTCTAGAGATTTACGGAATATTATCTTATAACTGGAAGTAAGAAGTACTCAGTGAAAACTGAATGGGTTTCACTAAGTAAATTTTAAAGAGGTTGATGCAATAAACTCAAGAATATTTTAGTGAACAAAATACTTGGCGAATTTCAGATAAGCGGAGGTCTGATCGTACAAATGGATCAAAGCAAGCGACGCTTGCACGAATAACTTGTTCTACAGGCTCAGATGTGGATCCACCGCTGCAGCTATTTCATGAAAAAATGACTCAGTAGGGTGCTGGATGGCGCTGCAAATGACTTGCATTGTCGCAAAGCGAAAGCCCTCAAGTACTACAAAGTACAACAAAATTCTGACTCAAATGTGTGTGATACCAAAAGTTATCTGCCGTGAAACATAACTGAAACTAAGGAAGCGCCCCTGCAGGTTAAAATAGTGTCTGGCTTAGATCAAAAGGAAATTTGGAAGTATTCTGTGTTTTTCAAAGGCAAAAAAAGAATTATAATCAGTAATGGTACTTAAGACAGCCTATAGGATGTGCGGTAGATTTTGTGACTAAAGTTGCTACAGTCTGTTAAAATCTTCATGCCTTTTCGACTATCTGCTTAAATAATAATTGTAGGAGGACATCGGCCTTAAGGCTGAAGGGCGAAACACAAATCCAACTGGGTTTTGAAGAGGAATATGCTGATAGGTCAAGGAGGTGCCTTGTAATTAACTTTGGACTAAGATCGGGATCCAAGAAACACTAAAAATGGATACTTCGATCGTTCTCATGCGCGCAGCACTGTAAATGAAAGTTTTTCAAAAGGTTCTACGAAAATGTTGTAGGTCATTTGCCCAAATATGTGAAACCCTAAAACTGCGTTTTTTTTATTCAAAAGTTCAGGAACATTCGGTCAATACACTGAACGGCGAGCCTCAGCGTATTATAAAGTTGTAAGGCAATGCTCGTCTGCGAGGGAAGCACTATAGATTATGGAGTTCTCTCACATACATTATCATACATGAACATTTGATTTTGTTAATGTCAGTATTAATTTCTGTTAACTAAAAGTAGCACAAAATAATTTAAATCTAATAAAACATCAGGAATTGAGGCAAAGGTGCGCATCCCAGGTATGTGCATAGATTGAGAAGAAGCAGATTCGATCACTGGAATCGGAGTTTTATTTTTCTGAGCTTTCGAACTCTTGCGGGATTCCATCGTCAGAGATAAAACCGTCAATGAAAGCAGGCAACATTTATAGGGGAAAGGGGGCCAAAAAACCGTCAACGAAAGCGGTCAAAAATTAACAGGGGTAGG